GGGAATGGGTGCCTGGAGTGCCCATCTAAAAGCGTGGGGATTAGTAAAACAACCACCTATGGACAGTGCACTAGGGTCTTTTGGTTCCTTGGTGCTGCTGTTTAATAAAGCAGACAAGGCGGTTAAACCAGAAGTACGATTAAAGCCCGGAAGACCCAAAAGGCACAGGCACACGCTCATGGTAAACCGTCACCGATTTCTGCCCTGTCCGCTCTATGACTCTCTTAGATTCTTCTACCTCTAAAACCTGGAATCTTCCTTCCGAGCTAATAAAAGTAAGGACGTGGAAGGCCTCTGCAGGAGAGAGGAGAGAGCCGCTCGGTCAAACAGACTAGGACCCAGAGAGCCCCGGACAACCTGGGTGCACCCCGCCCCCTCCCTTCGCTATAAACAAAGGCAAGTGTCTGTAAACACAGCCCCTCGCCCACCAGGTCCGCCCAGCGCCGGCTGACCTGAGGGGAGAAAGTTCAGATCGCTTTGGCCTAGTTGTTCTAACCCTTCGCCCCTGTGTTGTCAGCCGTCCGCAGAAGTCCGGAGCGCCACTCACACCCGCCCCCTACCCTCACCCACGAAGGGCTGGTCTGGCTGACTGCAGACCACCCCTGGGTCAGAGAAGCTACGAGCGAGCCTCAGGAACGCTAGAGGGTTTGCGCCTGAAGGCAAGGCGTGAACATCGCCCCAAGGATGGCTACAGCTGGAAATCCTTTGGCAAGGCTCTACAACACCAGGTTATATATATACACGCAGTTTCATGAAACAAGCCGCTTTTTAATACATCTTCCTCCCTCCCTCCTTGAGATCCTTCCCCCTCCTCCGTGTTAAGAGCCCGTTCTTAATAGCACTTCAGTTTCTTTGATTTCTAGAGCCAGGGGTGAAGCTCTGTCTAGTCAAGTCCTGGGGGGGGGGGAACAGGCCACAGGGACACCCCCCCCCGGGGGGGGGATATTACAGGACCCGGTCACAGCAAAGCCCGGGACAGGCTGTTAGAGTGGGATAGTTTGCCACTTGCTCTGGCTGCAGCATCGCAGACTTCAGACAGCGAGCAGTTAATATTGAGTTCCCCGTAGCTCCTTGTAAATCTAACCCAACCCCTGGCCCCCCTTTAAATCTGTGGTCTTGTTCGCGATTTCTTACTTGACGTAAAATTCCTTGTTACCTAATCATAGACTCCTTTTCAAAAGACTCCCCTCCCCCATCGCCACTGCTCCTGTGAGAATCTTCTGATCGGGACAGCTAGCAAACCCCCTCTCCTCTCTCTCTCTCTCTCTCTCTCTCTCTCTCTCTCTCTCTCTGTAATAGTGGATAAAAGCCCTATATTTTGAACTAAACACCCCAGACTATTTCCTATGCCTGTAAAAGACCTGGAATCCTCCTTACACCTTCTCCACAGGAAAAAAAAAATGCACCCCAAACACAAAAGGAAGCACCAGGCACAGGGCTTCCAATAGATACCTATAAAACAAGGCCACTCCTTCACCTTCTGAACCAAGCACAGACCTTCTCCCAAACAGATGCTCCTAAAGACCACTCAAAGGTCTCCTGGGGGCTCCGGCAAGAAGAGAACACCACTGGATAGAAGAAGCCCAGGCCTTTGGGTCAGGATTTTTACCAGGACACTTTGCTTTAATAACAGCTCCGTTATCTAGGGAGCCTCAGGTTATACTGATGGATTAGAACCACTGACTCTTTCAAATAAAGTTGGAGGCAATTACGATAATTTAGTTTACTTCTGCATACTTTAAATAGTATGAAAACAAGTATAACAGCTTTGTTTTCAAAATTCTTTTGAGGTATCACCCATTTAAAGATTAGGGTTTTCTTTTTTTTGTAAAAAAAAACACAGTGGTTTATTGAATACTTACAACGTTTACACCTTCAATATTAATTAATTTCCACTTAGTTTTAGAGGACGGAAGTGCACAAAACAAGTAGCTCATGGAAACATCTTCCAATAGGGAACAACGACATTTGAAATGACAGCACTAGGTAACTGACCCCGACAGAAATGTTAGCGGCCCTGTTTTCTGCTTTGAAATAAAACTTTATAACCCCAGGAATATTTATATCCAAAGGCCGACCATTAAAGATACACTTCACATAGGCACTAGCGTTCACTTCTTTATCTGGGAAAAGTTGGGTAAATGGGGGAGGGGCAACACTGGTGTCTACACAGCCAAGAGGGGACATTCACACACAGAGAATGACGGGGTCCCTTACCACACGGGAGTGTCCTCTTCATATTAAAATATGGAATGCTCTTCTTCAAATATCCACTTTTTTTTTTTGAGAGGGAGGTGGGGAGCGGATGCGTCAAAGGGGGGCAAGAAGAGGGGGAAGGAAATTGCACATAAATAAACCGGATGATCCAACTGCAAGAAGTCCTCAGAACGGAGCCCGAGGGCTTTCGGGGAGTCCTGGGTCTGCATCTGGCGCCTTGGCTCCCGGCTCGCTAGCTCCCCTCCTTCTCCTCTTCACTGCTTCAGCTCCAGGGCCCAGACGTGCTGCGGCCAGCCTGTCCGGCCTTTGGTTTTCTTGTCGTTGCTGCTCACTGTGCTTTTTAAGATTTCGTTCTAAGCAGGAAAGGGGATGAGAGGGAGAGAAACGGAAAGACAAGTTCAGAGAGGATACCTGGTCCCAGCCACCCTAGCTCTTCCCGGGCTAGAGGACACAGCTAGAGCACGAGAGGGAACGCCTAAGAGAGGGATGGCTGTGGGTACCGGCCTCTGCAGAAAAGTTAAGCAGGCTTCCAGGGCTTCAGCTACCGCCTAGGCCTCCTCTGAAAAACGTTCAAGGACCCAGTAAGCAAATTTATAAACAACCGCCCGATTTCTAGTCTTTTACAGAGAAGCCGGGGCTCTTATTTTCCCTTTGACTGCTAGTGTAGGAGAGGAACCAGAAGCCGGCGCTAAATCTGCCTTCTGTTTTCAATAGGGATCCCACATCCAAAGGCCCCTCTGCTCTGGCCTGGGCCTCTCCCGCTAGCCAGCAGCGGTTCTGTGCCTTCAATTCCGCAGTACCTTTCTTCCAAGGGCCCTTGAATTCTCCGCTTATTCAAAAGGTCATTTCATTACGCATCAATCAAAGGGCGCCAAGACGCAAAGAAGAAAAATCTCCACAAATGGAAGCGTTTTCCAGGTTCTTCCTGGTCATAACCTTATCCAGAACACCACTACTTTACAGGCGGTAGGTAAGCGCCGGAGAAAACTTTGTAAGTGGCTCGGCATAACTCCGCGTTAGAGTAAATCACAACGACCATAAGTCTATTTATCTTACTCTTAAAAGGCACACGCTTTCTCAAAAAAAATTTAAAAATACTCGTGACATATAGCACTTGCAGAATTACGTTTTAACATCACAGCCAAAGACAGACTAAAGCTGTATTTTTAACGTTAAAGTTTCTTAACGTTTATTGCTACCTCTCCCGTACCATAGTAGCGAGAACAAACAGAACATTTTCATGGAGTTCAGAGGCGGAGGCAGCCTCGGTTTGGGAAAGGGGAATGTGATCAATAGTGAAATAATTGGAACCGAGAGCTCATGGATAGCTTACTTTAGAAATACTTAAGAGAAAGGTTGGCTTGGAGGCCAGATGAATGCAGAATGAGGGGAGCCCGGCCAGCGCGGCTGGGAGATTGCTTATCCCTACAGTCTCGGAGGCCGGTCCTAAGGGGCTAGAGGAGCCTGGAACCTCGTAGGAAGACCAGGAGCGCGAAGGTCGGTGGGAAACCCTCCCCTCCCGCTGCCGACACCCACCCGGGTCCGCCCTGCTCTTGCAGGAAACCGTCTTTACCACCGTAACTCGGTGAAAGCAACTTAGGGCGCAGCGCACAGCCGAGAAATTCGGTGAGCAAGTTCCCAGTCGGGGTGGAAAGAGCGGAAGAGCGGCCCCACGAAGCCCGAGCCCCTCAGCGCCCTGCGCCACCCGGTACTGACCAGCTCTTTCTTCCTCTTCTCCTCTTTCACGTCGGTCTTCTTGATCTCTGCCTTGAAGGCCTCCGCCTCGCCGTTCTGGTCGTCCTTGGCCAGCAGATCCATGAGGTAGGCGATGTAGCTGGTGGCCAGGCGCAGCGTCTTGATTTTAGAGAGTTTGGTGTCGGCGGGCACATTGGGGATGCACTCGCGCAGCTCGGCGAAGGCGCTGTTGATGCTCTGAGTCCTGCGCCGCTCTTTGCGGTTGGCGGTGCCCCGGCGCTTCACCGGGCGCGGCCCCCCCAGGCCCGGAGGCCCTGCACCCGGCGGCACTCCCCCATAATGGGAGTGGTCCAGGCCCGCGGCGCCGCTGGCGTACTCCGGGCTGTAGGACAGGGCCATGCTGTAGTCGGGGGGCGACATCTCCGGGTGGCCGAGGAGCCAGCCGTGGAAGTAGGGGTTCTCCTCGTGGCCGCAGCGGCTGGCGGCAGCGGCGGCGGCGGCGGCGGCGGCAGCGGCGGCGAACGGGTAGCCTTCATGGTGCACCACGGGGTGGTGGGGAAAGCCTCCCACCAGACTCATGTCGCCCTCCGTGGCCCTCCAGGCGCCCCAGCGTGCGCGCAGCCCCGCCGCGCCCTCGGCCCGGGCCCCGGCCTCGGCGATCGCCGCTCCCCCCCACCCCCCACCCCCC